CCCCGCCGTGAGCACCGCTAGCGGCGGCTCGCCCTCGCCGGCGACCTCGCCGCAGAAACAGCAGCAGCAGCAGCAGCAGCAGCAGCAGCAGCAGGCGGCGGGCGTGGACTGGCGCGGCTCCGGCGCGGCCGTCAGCCGCAGCGCGCAGATGGGGCGCCCGGAGGCCGCCCCACTCGCGGCCGCGGCGCTGGCGCTGGTCCGCAAGTGGGCCGCGGAGCAGGGCGGCGCCGGGTGGCGGCTGGAGAGCCTTTTCATGACGGCCAGCAACTTCCAGGCGGCACCCACGGGCGCGTCGACGCTGCAGCGCTTCCTCGTGCCGCGGCCGGATCCCTTGGGTAGCGGCGCCTCCGCCGCCGCGTCATCGGGCGCGGCCGTGAGCAGCGATGACGGCGGCGCGGGCGCGGCCGCGAGCCCGGGGAAGCAGCCGCGCGGGGGCGACGCCGAGGCTGGAGCGGGTCGCGGTGGGTTGCGCAAGCGGCGGCGCGGCGCGGCGGCTGCGGGTAGGGGGCAGGCGGGTATTCAGCGGTTCATGGCCGCACGGCAGCAGGAGGACGTGGATTGCGACGGCGACAGCCGACAACAGCAGCGGCAGCAGCGGGAGCAGCAGCGGGAGCAGCAGCAGCAGCAGGAAGAGCAGCAGCAGGCGCCTGTGTTGGAGGAGGAGGAGGACGACCACGACAACGAGGAGCATTGGGAGGACCGGGAGGATGAGTGTGGTGTCGAGGAGGCGGACGGCGTACCGTGTGACGCAGCAGCCGCTGGCGCCGCGTCCGCGTGCGGCAGCCAGGAGGCGCTGGTCGCGTCCCTCAGGGGCTGGCTGGACAGCCAGCAGGCGCTGCTGAGTCAGAGCCAGCAGCAGCAGCAGCAGGGGTCGCAGCGGCACGACGGGCTTCCGCAGCAGGCACGAACAGCAGCAACACCAGCACAGCAGCAGCAGCAGCAGCAGCAGCAGCAGCAGCAGGAGCGGGATGGGCCCGAGCACGCGCCGCAAGCAGCAAGCCTTGGGCGCAGCCCCAAGCGCCGGCGCCCTGCCGCCGTGGCGGCGTC